GTTTCCCTTTGGGGTTGCTGTAGGTGATCCAGAAGTCTGTTTTTGAGGCTTGTTTATGTGTCTTCTCATTTCCACGGGGGGCGGGGCGGTGTGCGCTTCTGGCGCCCACGCGGCTCACCTTCTCTGCCCTAGGAGCTTGGGATTTCAGTGGCGGAGCTTCCTTCTGGGTTCTGGGACTGGCTGAGCTTCTCTGCCCTAGGAGCCTGGGATGGAGGCAGGGAGCTACCTTCCGGGTTCTGGGACCAGCTGAGCTTCTCTGCCCTAGGAGCCTGGGATGGAGGCAGGGAGCTTCCTTCCAGGTACTGGGACCGGCTCACCTTCTCTGCCCTAGGAGCCTGGGGTAGAGGTAGGGAGCTTCCTTCTGGATTCTAGAGATTATATCTTATTAAAGTTTTGATTTGAATTTCTCTGAGGATTAGTGATGTTGTATATTTTTTCATATCCTTATTGGTCATTTGTATATCTTTTGGGAATTATCTATTTAGATCATTTATTGATTTTTTTATTCAGAGTATTATTATTATTTGCTGTTGAGTTCCTGGATATTAGCATTTTGGATATTCATCTCTTTTCAGGTGAATACTTTGCAAATATTTTCTCCCATTCTGTAGATTGTCTTTTCATTTTCTTGATTAATTCCTTTGCTCTGTAGAGGGTTTTTAGTTTTATGTAATTCTATTTGCTAGTTTTTGCTTTTGTGTATTTGCAAGTAGACTGTTTTTGAGTTCACTAATTCTTTTGTGTTATTTATCCTCCTATTAATGCCTCTATCACAGTCTTAATTTTGATCTGTGTATTTTTTAGCTGAAGGATTTCTATTTGATTTTTTGTAATTGCTTCCATCTCTTTAAAAGTTCTCTTTTAATACTTTGAAATGTTTCTCTGTTATTTCTTCAAGCTCACTGAGTTTCTTTAAAACAAGTGTTTTAAATTCCCCAAGAGTTCTTCCATATTGATTACTACCTGATCTGTTTCTGACATCTTATTTTGAGTATTAAGTGAGGTTGTGGTTTCCTGAAAACTCTTCATGCTTTTTGGGATGTGATGTCCTGGCATTTGAAGATTAGGTGTTTATTTCAGTTTTCCAATCCAGGCTTTGTCTGTGCCTATATTTCCAGAAATTTCAAGCAGGCTGCTTATTTTCCTTGATCCTATAGTCACTTCTATTATTTCAGCTCTGGATGGCAGACTAGTCCAGGGTTGTCAGGAATCTGCGGGTGGTATGTCATCACTGTTTCAATACTAAATTGGTGATCCAATCCTATGTTTGTCCCAATTAAACTGTTGGTAAGTTGTTTGGAATGAACCAAGAAAGTATTCAGACAGAAAAGCCATTGCTACAAGCCTCTCCGTAGGGTTAGGGTAGGCCCAGATGACATCCACATTTACTGCCCTGTGGTCAGGCACCATAGGATTCTGCCTGGTTCTAGATAGAGTTACCATGGATGGGCCAGCCCCAAACTCATAGGTGTCATGCCTAGGAACACCAATGCCCTCAAGCTGTGTCACATCCTGAGTTCACAGCCTTCCAAGACCAGCAAAACTCTAGGGTAGGTGTTTTAGTTACTTTTCTCTTGTAACTGAGACAAAATATCTGACACCCAAAGTTAGAGGGGAAGGGGTTTATTTGGATTACAGTTTGTAGAAGTTTTAGTCCATAATTGGCTGGCTCTGAAGCTGAGATGGCAAACAAGCATCACAGAACAGAAACAACATGGTGCACGCAAGGCATCAAAGGTAACAAGAGAGTTAACAGCGTCTCCCTGCCCCTTTTGTCTTATTCAGACTACTTAGGGTGGGTAGCATTCACACCCTCAATCCTAGTGCCCTTAAGTCTAGCATTGCGTCATGAATCAATTCCAGTTTCACACACTCTAGATCAAGTCTATGATCACATGAGACTTTGGGGGGACATCTAGACCCAAACCATAACAGTAGTACCAGGGCCTGCACTACCAAGGGCTACCTATTGCTGAGATGGACTCATGGGCCAAGATTGCTGCCACTTGCAGCCACAGGTAATGCTAGCTGGAATAGAAGGACAATGGATTGGGGCCACATCTCTTCCTCTGGCACTGGAATTGTTCCGGAAGTTCTGTCCATAGCATCCATAGGCATAAGGTATGGGGGTGGGGAGGGTGTGAGGATCTTCCCAGGGTTAGGTTTCACCAGTCCAGCACTAAGTTCTAGGGCAAAGTCCCATGTTTACTACCCTGTCCACCCCTAGGGAATGGAGTCTTTCTAAATACTCTACTACCTGAAGTTGGGGAAGTGTTGGTTAAGAAAGACTCTTGGTCACCAGGGCTAATGCTAAATGAGTCCTGCTTGAGTCCCAGACTCAGTGATGCACAGGGGCCTGTGACACAGGTGATGGTGATGCAAACTGAAACATGAGTTTGTTCCACTGGTGCACAAGTAGTCACCTAATGCTAAGGTTGGTCTGGAGCAGTGATGGTGTACCTTTTCGAGACTAAGTGTCCAAACTGCAACCCAAAACCCACTTATTTATTACAAAATGGCAATATTGCAATTAAACCTGAATGCTTGGCTGCTGGGGCAATGCTGGAGCAACTTAGCTTGCATGCTGATGGAGAGGACTCTATGTGCCCGCTGTGGCATGCATGCCATAGGTTTGCCATCACTGGTCTAGAGGCTCTGTCTATGAATTCATATGAGACCTTCAGTTTCTACCAGATGCTGGCTTTTGCCATGGCAGGCTTAACACAGAGCTCCAAGACAAAGCCTTGTACTAGCTTTCATGCCTTGCTCCCTAGCAGGTGGTCTTCTTCCCTGCTATGCCACTTAAATTTGGAGGAGGGATAGTGGAGGCAGTTAGCCACCTGGGCTGATGCAATTCAGTGGCTCAGCCTGTGAATTTTGGCCTGGAAGTAGGAGCTGTGGGGCTGTGGGTTTCACTGTGGCAGCCATGATACTGAGTTTCATGTCCAAGGCCTGGACTTAACTTAGCTCCCCAGGAAGGAGATGTCTCTCTCCACACTAGGCTGCTTGGAGTTGGGAGAGGGGTGACACAGACAACTCCTTTTCTGTCTTCTTCAATACATCTTTTTATTTTGTTATAACCAGGTACTGTGGTCTTGTACCTGATTTCCTCAGTTTTTGTGAAAGTAGTTTGGTCCACAAATAACTGCTCACATTGGTATGCCTGTGGGAAGAGGATCGCTAGAGGATCTTACTCAGCCACCATCTTGCTCTGCTTCCCTTGCACTCCCTTTAATGTCCTCTATTTTAACAGAGCCATTTGCATAACTATTCTCCTCCAAACTCCCCCTGACTCTCCCTAACCTGTGCAGACAGACATTTTCATTTCCTGCAACCACTGGGTCATGCCACACGGTGTCCTTGCCAAAAATGGTAACAGGAACTTTTAATTTTCTTCACTGACTGCCCTCAGGAATTCTGGTGTGTCACATCCCCCATATTCTTTCACTCTCATCTTGATCCCTAGAGAAGAAAGTGCTGGGGTATGCTTGGAAAGTGTACTTTTGTTTTCTCTTTCTAATTACTCTAATTTTAGGGAACAACCCCTGTCCAGGATTCCAGGTCACTAATACAATGGCCAGCATTAATGAGTAATGCCTACAATCTAATGTGCCAGATGTTGTAAGAGAAGATTATGAATCAAACTCTATTGGAGGGCAGAGAAGTGGCCATGAGTTCAGGTGGGAGGGTTAGTCTTCTGGGTCCGGCCACTCTCCATTAGTACTTGCCTCAATGTTGCTGGAGGAAGTCACATTAGACATGGAGTTTATAACATTGTGGTTACAAATACACCTCTTAAAGCCAAATCATCTGGATTTCAAGCTCATCATTTTCACTTGTAGCATGGGCCAGTTACTGAAGTCCTTTCTAACTCAGTTTCTTCACCAATATAATGAGAATTACACCTTTACAGAGTTAAGTAGTTAAAGCATGAAAAGTGTTTGAAACCTACTTATCACCTAGTAAGAAATTCTAGTTACTATCACTGGTCTGTGGGTTCCCTCAGATTAGAGGAGAGAGCTTGGGGGAGAAGATGAGCCAGGTGAGGGAAGTACATTTCAGGGTTTTCTTAGGTTCTGGGTTCCTCGCTCTTCTCTCTGTCTTCTTAGTCCAAGGGAGGTCACATCCAACTGCCCACCTTGCTCAGGCCTCATACCCTTCCTGCCACCTTCAGCCTGGGTTCTCTTTCCTAGAATGCTCAGATTCTACTGATCCTGTGGTCGGCCTCTCAGGACTGCCTCTCAGTCTTCGGCCTCTCAACACACAGATGAAGGAAAAGGCTGTTGAATGGAGAATGCAGCTGCCCTCACTTGGAAAGTGTAAAGCGATACTGAAGTGGAAGAATAATAAAAATGTGAGCTATGCTACATGTGCCTTAGAGTATTTCAATAACACACTTGATTTTGAGAGTGAGAACTGGACTCTTCTCATCAAGTCAGCTAAGCCACAGTACAGTGGACTCTACAAACTGGAGCTGACCAATGCGAATGGGACCGTTTCCTGTTTCCAATTCAAGGTCTCTGTGTTTGGTGAGTCTCCAGGATGGTTCATGTTGGCACTCTGATTCCTGTAGGACTTGTATTTCCAGAACTTTTTTGATCAGAATCTCTGTTTTCAGATCATGTAGAGAAGCCTCGCCTGAAGGAAGAGTGGAAGGCTGTGGGTGAAGGAAAATGCCTAGTGAATCTCTCCTGCTTGGGCTCCAGGAATGGCAATGTGAGCTATGCCTGGTACAGAGGGAGCGAGTTGATCCCGACACTGAGAAACCTCTCCCATCTGGTGGTGCATCTTGATGCTAATGAGCCGGACATATATACCTGTAATGTCAGCAACCCAGCCAGCTGGGCAAGTGAAAGCCTCAACCTCACCCAGGGCTGTCTGGGTGAGTGGGGCACTCTGGGCTATCATGGGGGCTGAAGGCACTGGATCCCACAACCAGGTTCATGTTGAGGAGAGTTTTTGGTATGAGACCCTTGGTTTCTTTCCTGGTGCCTTATAGCCCTTCCTCAGCAGTGGCTCAGCTCTGGGCACATAGTTTTTATAAAGCCAGGTATGTCATAGTCTTGGAAGGACCATACTATATTTCCATCACCTTCTAGGGGTACACATTTCCCTCCACATTGGGAAAGCGTGGTTGTTTGGTGAGTCTTAGGAAGGTTCCTGACCATTAGCTTTTTCCTCAGAGACCTGATCTGCTTTCTCCTCCTGAGCCATAACTTACCAGGAGCCATGTAGTTCTCAGGAGGTGATGACTCTACGAAATAGTACATGGCTCAGCAGGAGCCTCAAGAGAATCACAGGCTCCCTAGATGAGTTCTGGGTTCATTGCTTTATCCTGAGAGTTAGCTGAGATAAGTTTGTGTTAGTGTTTTTTATAGATAAAGACTTAATGTGCCATCGGCATGGACATTACATTAAAGAAAAGACCTAAAAAATTACACAATTCCTGGCCTTAAGAAACTTACAGCAACAAAACAAAGTACCTCTGGGTAGAAAAGAACTAAATAGGGCAAGGGATGCAGCTCAGTGGTGCCACACCTGCCTGGCAAGTGCAGGGTCCCGAGTTTGATTCCTGGTACCAAAAAAAAGAGAAAATAAGATGAGGCAGTGTGTAGTGACAAGGGCATTGGCTTTTTGACCATGACAAATACGGCTTCATCATTCACCAGCTCTGTGTTCTCAGACAGATTTCTTAACCTCTGTGAGCTTCATCTTTTTCTCCTGGGTAAAATGAGTATGAAAATAATACCTATCTCCCAGGCTTGCTGCAAAGATTAACTGAGATAATGTTTGTAAAGAGCTGGTCAGTTAGTTAGTACCTGGACCACTGGATTCTTTTCCTTTTCCCCTTGTTGGTTGAATGATGTATCAGGCTCCATCTGTGACACAAATTTTACTTGTAGAAATTCAAATGAGGAGGGCAGTGAAGGTAGGGGTAGCAGGATGGTGAAATGGAAGACTTGCCTGGCACATACTAGGTGTACAATGAATATTTATTGAGTTAAAAACAATGGGTAGACAGAACAGTTGCTGTGCCAGAAGCTTTACAGAAGCAGATCATGTAAATAGCCCCTTTAGAGAGATAATATCTTCTTTTTACAGGTGAGAAAGCTGAGGCTCAGAGAGTTAAAATGTAACCCAGAGCTTGTTGAAGTATAATCTGGACCAAGTCTGTCAGATATTAATGTTCATACTCTTGGCATCACTCAGAGGAAGTCATTCAGTTGAGCAGAGGAACAACCTTGGTGTGAATTCATAGGGCATGAGGACACTGGCCACACCAGAGAGAGCAGAGTGGGTTTTGAGCCAGTTCCTGCAGTTGACAGGTAGGAAGCAAGATGATAAAGATTGGGAACTCAGTCCTTGTACCCTCTGTGTCCCCAGAACCCAGATTTCCACTCTTATTGGTGGTCATCGTGATTCTAGTTGCATTGTTTCTTGGCACCCTCACTTGCTTCTTTGTGTGGAAGAGAAAAAGGAAGAGGTCACGTAAGTGGAATTTCTTTGAGGGGGTTCTGTAGATCCAATCAAGTGGCTTGGCCCTGTGGGTAGTGGGATGTTCCTGGGTGCACATACTCTCCTTTATCTGGGAAGTGTTGGGATGTGTGTGTGCATGGTTGGGCAATGGCTATTAGCAGCGGCAAGGCCCCTTCTCCCCGTTCATGCTTTCTGTGGTGGCTGCTAGATACAGTCTGATCCCAATGTGCAGATTTATCTGCAGATGGCTGATATGGTTGGGGACTACCCAGCTTAATAAAGGAAGTACGTCAGAGGTGGTTGCTCCACTCTGTTCTTTGGAAATTTTGGAAGAGAACCAACATGACTCTTTCTAGAGCCATTCTTAAGGCCTTGGCCATCTGGGGTACAGGTGGGATCTATCAAAAGTGGAGGCCTGGACAGCAGGCCCTTTGGAGGTTTCTGAAGCTCTGATTTTTTGCTTCCTTCGTCCTACAGAGTCCAGCCCACCGGAACTTCTGACAGTGTATGAAGATGTCAAGGAAATCAGAAGGAATCAAGTAGGGCATGCTAGGGGCTAGGTTCTTTCAACTGGTTTGGAAAATGCTATTTGGAGGATGACCATTAAGAGTAGGGGGACAAAGAGAACTGAACAACTGTCCTGTCAAAGTGATCCTCATTGCTTCCTTAGCTCTTTTTTCCATCAAGTTCTTAGCTTTGGCCATAGAGGAAAAGAAAAAAGAAAGGGAGCAGAGAAAATGAAAGGGAGGCAGAAGGGGCACCATGGTTCAGAATTGCACCTACCGAGGAGGGATGATGAACAGCAGCAATCAGCAGAGAGAGGAATGTTATTGCTGCCTCCCTAAATTGCACCATGGCTTCCTCAGTTTTGTTCAGTCTTGTCAGCTAGGCTGGGTGCCAGGAGGAATGCAACCTTCTCATAATTCTTGTGTCTGAACACAAATTCTCATTTCCTTAGCAGCTAATTTTCATAGGCCCTTTAATCATTACTGAGGAGTGTGACCAGCCAAAGCACAACTGTTGTGTAGGTGGCTCAGTGGCCTGTGCTTACAGCCCAAGTCTAGCTGAGGTGCTAGAAAGAGTAAGTAGCTTGATAGGAAGCCATGAGCCAGAGGGGTGACATCAGGGAATCCTTCTCATCAACTGTTTGCAAGGCAGTGGCCAACTCTTCCTGTCGTCTAGAAATGTAAAAGAGGAAGAAGCTGCAGAGGGGTTCAGATGCCCCTTGTAGTATGTCCCTGAGCAGGGCAGGATGTGGTAACAGGCCTAGGGGAAAAACCGTGATGTGTCAAGCAATACTGAACTATCAGTGTGAGGAGTGGTAGGGGCAGGGAGGAAGTGCCTTCTTACCACCATGCATGGCCCTCGGCTGGAGAACGCACATATGGGGTTTCCTCGGCTCAAGCCATGTGGGTGAGGCTCTGTGAGGCCTGACAGAATAGACAAACAGCTTTCCTCAGTTGAGAATGAAGGTAGCTCCTCTGGTCTTTTTCCTTGTCCCAGCAGTGGAATAACAGTAGGGGTTGTGTGATAGCCCAGGCTGGGAGATCTCTCCCAAGGGAAATACTGCTTCCTGGTGGCCAGGGATGAAAAGTTCCTGATAAAAATGAGGTGTTTTGTTTTTGTTTTTGTTTTTAATAAAAGAAGTAAGGCCCAAAGCAGCCATGTCTGTAGTTTGGTGGCTAAATTGTGGGGCAAAGAAAATCCATTGTAACTGTGATTGATACTAGCCCATTCTTTGGCTTTAACAAGGTTGAACTCCAAGGAAAGGAATTTGAATTAATCCAAGGGACAACATCTCTCAGATGAGAGTGTTGATGAGAATAAGATTCCTCCTCTGGAGCACCTTGAAAAGAGGAGGGTTTCTTTATGATAGCCACTCATTCTGGAGTCAGATGGAATCTCAGTGTCATTTCGATTTGCATAGAAAATGGACATCTTGTGACCATAATGTTAGGTGAAATAAATCAGACATACAAGTTTAAATATTGCATCATTTCTCTTATATGAGAAACCCAAAGTACAAATAAATTAAAAAGCAAAATAAAAGATAAGTAATAGGAGACAGGGAGATTGCTCTTTTGGAAATGGGAAAAGAATCAAGAGATGGCAGGAGAAGGAAAGGAAGGGAGTGGAACGGAGTGTATAAAGAATTAAGATGTGTTGTGTACATGGACCAACTCCCATCGATGAATGTAATTATTATGTATTGCAAACATGGACTAATAAAAATTAAAATTTTAAAAAAGGAAGAGTTACCTGGCCTAGAGGGCACCTAATTCAGGTCCAGAGAAGGAAGGCCTGTAGCCAGAGGGAGGCATTGAGATGTTGAAGAAAAAGCCCTGGAGTTCTGCTTCTACTGTGTACACACTGACTTGAGCTTTTTACCCTTTTGTAGCTTCATTTGTGGTGGGGGACAAATTATGGTCATTCCTATCTTATAGGAGTCATATATGGGAAAGGGGAGAATATATACACAAATAAATGCTCAACAAATAGTAGCTACTGTTAATAACAGAGTGGGACTGGAATTTATGTTGATGGGTTTCTCAAAGTAGCTCATCCAGGATTCTTTTAACTAACACCTAAAGCTTCTGCCAGGGCAGGGTTGAGGCAGAGGGATAGAAAAGGTGACCTCTCTAAAATTGTGCTGGATTGATGCTTCTGAAAACCTTTCATTTCTTTTCTCATTAGTCTTCTGCTTCCACATCACAATCACAAGAAACTGCTGTTACCTTATATTCAGTAGTACAGGTTTCCCAGAAGGTGAGTCTCCTTTTTGGGGGTGCTATGGATGCAGATGCATGTCTGGAGAGTGCATAGGGAGACATGGGTACGGTGTGTGTTTGCAGAGAGTGTGTGCACGCTCTGTGCTCCCTCACCTGTATGGCACTAGTTTCTGTTAAATGATGGTATTTAAATGCTAATGCCTCAAACAGGAGAAATGCCTTTCTAGTTCTGTCTAGAGATAAAGACCAGCTCTGAGACTCAGAGAATAGTGTATTACAGGGTTTTCTAGGAATTTCTGTGGGAAGCAAAGGATAGGGACAGAAAGGAGGTGCTCTGAGATCCCTAATAGGCCAGATGACGTTCTGGTGAGATTTTCAAGGCAGGGGATTGTTTCTTGGACCCGCAAAAGTGGATTGAACTAGAGAAGCAGAATGTTTTCAGAGTTCAAAGTTCTGACCATTCCTATCTTATAGGCCTCTGCTGGTGGAGGCCTCTGGACTGAGGCAGATATCACAATCCACTCAAATCCTGCTCCAAGCTGAGCTCACAGCTCTCCTGTGTATCTGGAACCACACAGTTAGGCATCCTGGTGCCCATTCTCATCCCTTCTACCTGATATGGGAAGGGAATGGAAGGGTGGAATTCTCATGGCTGAAGCCACAGTATGAAGCCATAACATGGCAAAAGAGAAGCTGGGAATCTACAGAGCTGTGGAAGTCCATGCAGGTCAGAGACCATGTGTTTGAAGGAGTTTAGGACATGTTTTCAGACTTTTCATCCAAGCTCCTTCTAATAAATCACTTAGCCAACTTGGATCCTACCATGAGAGATATTTAACTTTAATTACATGCTACAATATAATTGCCTGCCTAGGACATGAAGATAACCACAAGTACTATGTTTACGTGCATTGGTATTACATTATGAAAAATCCTACATACCACTGAAAGGTCTTCTCAGTTCAAGTAATTCATATAACCACTGTGTTAAGGAATGTGCTAGGGTTGGCACTATGTATGGTGCCAGAATTGGGCACATTAAAGAGTGTGTGTTGAAGAGTTATATTTTAGGGCAGTATTTGCAATAGGATCATCTGAGGGCTATGTATATAAGTGTATATGTGTGTGTACGCGTGTGTCTGCACTAGGAATATTTATTTATGTGGGTTTTAGGGGTGTGTGGGCATGAGATACTAATCTCTGACATTGGTTTGGAAATATCATGCCATATGCCAGTACACACTGTTCTTCCTGGAGACTATAAACATCACTAGTTGCTCCTGGGGTTGATTCTCTTCACTTTCTGGCCAAGGGAATCTCAGTGGGCTTTCTGGGGCCTGAGTCTCTTTTGGGACCTTGTCCATCAGCTAAGACTAGAACATCTCTTATCTTGAAGTTAAACATTCTTTACTCTCTTAAATTTCTAGGCTAGATTCAAGAAGAAGAACCAAGATCCTTCCTGCAATTGCACCATCTATGCACAGGTAAGACTCTGGAACTCTCTCTGAGTAAGTTAGCTTCTGTAGCATAGCCTTGAAGTCCAGCCATGAAGAATATCTTTATGTGAAAGTCATATTATTTCAGAGTTGTAGGAACTTTAGGCATCCTCTAATGCGAATCTTCATTTTAGATTTTAGATACTGAGGCCCCTCAAAATTGAAGGCCTAACCCAAGGTCATATTATGTATTGAAGTTTAACTTTCATTGGGCAGCTTGGGTTCCAAATTAAGGCGGTTCCCAAGCTAGTTCTCAGGCTATAGGCTACAAACTACATCTCTCCTCTTATGTGGGATGGTAGAGTCAAAGAGGGGAAAATAAGCAATTAAACAATTTTCATAAATTACAAAGTCATTGGGAATCATTTTAGGATGCAAGCTTCTGCTGAGGCGAACCTTGTTCAAAGGTGACCCCTGAACCTGGTGGCTACATTGCTTCCCATCAACCCATGGAGGAGAAAGGAAGGACTCAACATTGATTGGAGGTCTATTATATATAAGGCAACTTGCCAGTGTTGTCACAGGAATTATCTTATTTAATGCTCACAGAATGTTCTAAGGCAGATAAAATTCATTCTCTCCCTGTGTCTCTGTCTCTGCCTCTGTCTCTCTCTGGTTGAAGATTGAACCCAGGACCTTGTGTATACTAGGCAAGCATTCTACCACTGAGCTACACCCTCAGCGTCTATGCTTTCCATTTATATCCAGGGAAATTAAGGCATGAAGAGCACCTACAGACATTAGCCATAAAGATGCTGTCTTTGTCTCAAGGGTGGGGGTGGTAGGTGCCCGCCAGGATTCTTGGTACCTCCTGGGATTTCTGGTCCTTCAGATATAACCCAACATTGAAGCTAACTGGACAGTGCAGGCTTGTAGGGGACCCTGTGTGGGCCACATCAATGTGAGGCTTCGTGACAGCATGGTGCAGTTAAAATGGTGCTGGAATTGAGCCAGAAGAACTGGATCCAAGTCCCTCCTTTACTTCATACTAGTTGTTAACCCTGAGTAATTTGTTTTACACTCTGAACTTCATTTTTAAAATTTGTAAAACGGAGATGATAATTCATCATCCATCGGATTATTGGAAAGATCTTCTAGGGAAGTTCTAAAGTTTCTCCTTTTTTTCCACAGGTTGGAAATAGACCACTCGAGGCCTGTAACTCTGCCCGATTGGGCCGCAAAGAGCTGAAGATCTTTGATATTTATTCCTAGTTGCTTTAGCTGTTCTAACTTCTCTTCCATGTAAACACCTGCTTTGGGAATCAGCAGTATGGATGATGCTGGCTGAGTCTCTGTGGAACAGTTCTTAGTCTGCAGAGGATGTTGAAGATTATTCATGGGCTATGCTTTATTTTGAAAATGATTTTGAACAGCTGTTACAAGAGCCAGGTTGTTGAATAATATCTCTCCATTTGCAGATCAGAGAAGAATGGGCAGAGAGGTTGGGTGAACCACACGCTGAGCACTTGTGATCTGTAGAACGTCATGTCACTGTAGATCCCATGCCCTAGTTTTCTAACCTGTTACTTGTTTCCCTCCTTGCTGAGCTGGGATGAGCACATTTCTAGATGCTCCTCTTTCCCAGGCCTGCCTTCCAAAGCAAGAGCAAAGAAGACTGATGGTGACTTGGAGGCTGTGAGCTGGTAGGCAGATTCTCACAGCGGGGACCTAAGCTTCATTCAGATGCAAGGGGAAAACACCCCACCCTGATCTCACACCTTTAGCTCTGGGCAGATGTAGTGGTGTAGGTCATCTTCGAGAAGGAAAATTACCCCAAGCTCCAAGCCCAAGGAGTCCTGTAAATGGGAGGTGAAACCAGCTGTGGTTTGACTTACAAAGACTCATTACTGATCCCGCTCCTCTTGGGGACTGGCTAGGCTGGCTTCCTCCTACAGTGCAGTGTGGAAGACCACATTTTAAAGCAAGTGCCTTTTTCTCAGAAGAAGAGGTTTCTCAGAAATCATGTCCTATTTCAGTTCTGCCACCTGGAGAGAGGACTCAGACAGTTTTGTGCCAAGGAAGAGGCAGTTGGAAAGCGACACTGTGCTGGGCTTGCTGATCTTCAGCCCAGCCCCTTAGCAAGGTCTGGGGGAGCACGACTGAGACTGATTGAGCCTGGAAAGGGAAAAAGGGGTGATGGTGAACTGGGATGGGATTATCAGAGACCCCAACTGGTGATTCTGTTGAGGTTGCTTCTTCAATTGACCCCACCCTGCACTTACTGTATGAATTTAATAAAAAAAAAACCTTTGGTGTTATACAGAGGATGTCTAAATCTTTTGGCTAAATTAAATTTATGCATCTTTTCCATACTCTGCATTTTTACTCTCTATACCAGCCAGAGGGCACTTGTGGGCCTTTTATAAATGCATCTGCTTAAACTCTTCTGGAGAGGGGCCTGGCTTTCTAGTATTCCCTAGTGTTTTTCACAGTGGTACAGCAGAAAATAGATAGCAGGGATCATTCATCTTCACAACAAGTAGCTGAGGCTCACACCTGCTCATGCCTTGCCTGATCCTTCTCCTCTTGGAGACTGGTCAGGCTGGCTTCCTCCTAGAGAGAAGTGCAGACAGACTACATTTTAAAGCAAGTATCAAGGGTAAAAATCATGTCTGGGGGTCCTGAGCTGAGTTGCGAGTCAAGGGGTTTGGTGAAAAAAAGCACCTAGAAATGACAGGGCAGTGCAGATAAGCACTAGAGACACTGACCACTGACTGCTGCTGGCCTTTCAAGTGTCTTGTGTTGCATAGGTCTTGAACTGGCCAGGTATATTTAAAGGAGCAGAAGAAACTCTATGCCCCCAAGGCTTTTTGGGATACCTGTGTTTTGTTTTTAAGGGTGCTTTAAACAATTTATTTAACTGAAATGCCATATACTGACTTCCATTTATTTTGATACATCTTGTCCCCAAGGTGATTTAGAGGATCTTCAAGCCAGTATAAATATTTCATAAATATTTGGCCATTTGAGTATACATCTGCACAATACCTCACATCTTTCAGCAAGAAAAACACTGAAGAGTAAAGACCTGACACAATTAACTGGGTATAATGAGAATCTGCTCCAAATATTTGTTTCTCCAAGGTAAAGGCACCACACACCTGGTCAATTAAGAAAACCATCCTTACAACACAGGATGATTTCTTATTTTTGAAGTAGGGATTAGGGCATTCCGCCGCTAATTAAGTGCTGCGTGGCAGAGCTACATCCCCAGTTTATGCCATGAATTCACAGGGAATAGGTTCCAACAGCTCAGGCTCCTTCCCATTGGTTCTCACAAAGTGTGCTTCTCTGGGTGGGGCAGGCTGGCTCTTCAGTCGAACCCAGGTACCTTCCTCTTTGGCTTCCTTCCTTTTCTGATCATTTTCCTTGACCCGTTTCAGGAAGCTGTCTCGACTCTTTGAGTGTTTAATATGCTCAATACACACAGTAATCCTGTTGGCAAGTATCTTGCCCTTAACTTGCTTGTTTACAACAATGCCAACAGCATGCTGGGTAACATTGTAGACTCTTCCAGTTTTGCCATGGTAACATTTGTGTGGCATTCCTTTTTGAACAGTGCCCATTCCCTTGATGTCTACAATATCATCCTTTTTGTAGATTCGCATGTATGTGGCCAAAGGAACAACCCCATGTTTTCTAAAAGCCTAGAGAACATATACCTGGTTCCCCTCCTTTTTCCCTTTGTGTTCATCATTTTGGCAAATTATTGGAAGATGGCAGTTCTGGCCGAAAGGAAGGGGGATACCTGTGTTTTGAAGTGTGATGTGTACATCATCATATTGTGTGTCAGATTGCTGAGCTTCCATGATAACACCTCACAAAGATAATTATCCATGAAAGGAGACAATGAGCAATCAGCAGTTAAGCTCATGCTGAGTATGAAGCATTGCCTGAAGCCTTGGGAATATCTGTTGCAGCCCACAGAAACCATGCTGACTCCAGGGCCACGTGCAGGAGGGCATGGCAGTGGAAGTGGGCTGCAAGGTGCATGTAACACAAATGTACTCTAGAGTATCATGAATATAACTCCAGTACAATGGATCTCACAGGTAAGGGGTCAGAGCTGCAGCCAGTGTGGGGACAAGAGAGATACTGTGGTTATTCTGTACTAAGACTGACAATAAGGAGAATAAGAAGGAAAGTTCTTTAGGTGTAAGTATGGGTGTCTTATATGAAATTTGGTGTCAAAATTCTCAGCACCCAAACTTCTTTGATAATACACTGGCCAGAACATACTGGACAGTCATGAAGCACTGTACTAGTAAGGACTAAAAACAGCACAAGATAAAAGTAAATTAAAAAACCATCTTTTCCTCCCCTGAGCTCATGTTATATCTTTCCTCAAAAGATTAAAACATGCAGGTACCCTTACCTAAATCCACAGAGACTTTTTTTGAGGCTTAAGTGAGAGGCCTTGATAATTTGCAACTTTGACATGAAATTTTTGTTAAAATACTGGTGTTCCTGAAAGATCAACAATAACAGGATTCCCTGGAAAAGGCATTTGTAAGATATGTGCACTTGCTAACTCAGACCCTTTCCAGTGTCTTCATTCCCTCATAAAAACCCCAACCTCTCATCCTGACTGCATGATTCCTTTCTTAGAAATTCACCCACTGTCCCTCCTGACAGTGTTCTCAGTAACCTAATTAAATTCTTGTCTTTCCAATATTCCTGTCTATTAATAAACTCTTTTAACTGCCTGCATCACTGACTCTCCATATGCCATCAGGCATGGCATGAAAGAGGCATTTTAAACACTTTTAAAAACTATCAAAAGAGTAACACACATGTGGTTTAAAATATCCAGCAGTACAACTCCTTCTCAACTTCCTATTTCCTCTCCTGGAGGTAGCCACTGATAAATTTTTTTTCTACTTTTTTCCAGAATTTCTCTATGCCTACCTAAGCACAAAGACATTTTTTCTAATACAGTTGGTAACACACAACACACATTGTTCTGGACTTTGTTCTTCACACTCAACAGTGCATTTTAAAGTTTATTCTATATTAGCATATTAGTCTTTGCTTTCTTTACAAGTGGTAGGGTGTTATGGCTCATGTGTAGATGTCCCCCCAAAGCCTCATGCAGTTATAGGTGGGGCTTTTTCAGAAGTGGCTGGATCTAGAGCATATGATGCTGGAATTGATTGATGATGCAATGCTAGGCTCAAGGGCACTAGGATTAATGGTATAATTGCTAACTTCCCTAAGTAGGCTGGATAAGACATAAAGGATAGAAAGAGCTGTTGTCGTACCTTGTTGCTTTGCTACCTTCTGCCCATCATGAACTGTTTCTCCTCTGCTGTGCAACCCCGCCTTGGAGCCAGCTGATTATGGACTGAAACCTTCACAAACTGTGAGCTAAACAAAACTTTCCCCCTTTAACTTGGGTGTTGAGTATTTTGTCCCAGGAATGAGAAAAGTAACTAAAGCATAGGGTTCAATCCTGCACGAGCACACTATTCTGTATTTATAACTAGACTCTCACTAAGGGACATTTAAGTTATTTCCCATGTTTTATTTTAAATAATACTATAGAGAACATTATTTTATGTAGATCTTTGTGTCCATGTGTGAGAATATCTGCTGGATTTGCTTTCATAGCTATTCATGAGATGGGTGAAGGGTAGCTGGATCCCCTTCAACAGCTTCCAACTAGTGTTGGCAGAATTTTGAGCTGAGAAGAGGAAACAGAATGAGGAAGGGCATTTGAAGTCCAGAGACTCCAAGGAGCCTGTACCTAAAACATTAATGGGCGTAGGAGGCTGAGGGGTGTGTAGGAGTGAAATCCAGGCATGTTTGAGCCACTGTGGGAAATGCTGATTTACTTCTGTCTGTAGGAGCACCAGGATTTACAAGGTCCAGCTACTTTTCTGATCTTCAAGAGAGAGGTAGAAGTTGCTTTTCTTTTCATGTGAAATTTTGATAGGTAAAGGTTTCAGAAGACTCCAGATCACCCTGTGGTGGAGGCATCATCGTGAGCCAAAAGAACACACAAAAATCTGGTTAATAAAGTCTTGGAACCCACAAGTTTCCTCCACTCTTTGCAAGTGGGGGAGAGGCAGGAAAGGCCAGGCCATGGCTACTTCCTGTGGAATAGGGTCAAATGGAATAGTCTTTATGGACTGTCCTCTTAATGGTAAAGATTATGCACTGGGTTTCATGCAAGGACAATACCAGATAGTTTAGTGCGGAAAATCCATGGGGCTGAAAAACAACAATAAAATGCCTTGACCTCAGGAAGTTACTTTGAATGACCCCAATCTCTGCCCTAGCATAAGAAACATGGAAACTTGTCTGTAAAGATAATTCAGATGGTAGAGTTTAGGTTCCAAAGCAATGGACCAGACCATTAGACCTTCATGTTCTAAGGGTTCTGAGGATTCCTTATTGACGAGTGTTCAGGGAAGGGACTAACTGAAGAACAAATGAGACCTGACCTGATGCAGAGAGGAAGGGAAGGTTAGGGACCAGTGACAGCTTGGGAACAGCATAAACATTCTTCAAAACAATATTCAGAGATATGTGTTAGAAAATAATATCCAAAGTAGGCTTTAGCATCTCCTGATCAAGTGGGCAACAGCAGCCCTATGAGGCCCAAAACTAGAATTTCTGTCTTGAAAATTCTGACGACAAGGAATGAATTGTCAAGGGCTTGGCTAAGGAAATGCATTGATTTTGGCCTACACTGTAGGTGAGGGTGGGCTTAAGGTCCTAAACCTTGGGCATGCAGGACTCACCAAACTTATGGTGACTCATGGTCATTCTGAAACTCAGAGCAGAGACGGATGTCTATGACTTTAAGTTTGACCAGTTTTGACCCAAACACAAAGGACCTGACTGGAGTGAAAAGGAGCCCTAGGAATGCAGTGAACGGTACAGATCTGGCCTCAAGGCTGAAGGTGAAGTCTCTGTTGGCTAAGAATTAAGACAATAATCTTGAAGGCAGATGATGGTTGAATTAAACTCCTTATTTAAACAAGTGCCTACTGAGCACATTCTACCCACCTTGTCAGGTCCAGCTTAGATTTCTTTTTTCATGGACCCTTTCCTCTATGCCTCATTCCAATGATATCTCCTGCCTCTAATGCCTGAAAAGCTCTAGGAACTTCACACACCACTTATCAAGTAGACCCATAGTGTTTTCTCTCCCCTTTCAGCTAACTGAATCAACTCCACTCCTTCCCCACTAGGATAGGGATGGTATTGAATTCCCATAGCACTCAGGTCAGTTCTGGGCAAACAAGAGGTGCTCAACTAATATCTGTG